ATATTTATGTTTGTGGTTGTAATGTGACAAAATATGGAAAAGTTCAAGGGGTATGAATACTTTTGCAAACCACTGTATTAGTACACAATAATATAGGTAGCAATCTTTTAAACTTCAGGCTTTAGTCCCCCTGAATAGCTTCTATTTATTACCACAGTTGGATAAGATGGTGCAGAGAGGTGACCAATTTGTAGAGTGGTCACTTTAAAATGTGCATATTAAGTTCTTCAGGGTTATTTTGAATAATTCAAAGAGGCAAAAGACTGATTTCACTTTCATCTTTAGTGTGCTTTCTGAATTTGAGATAAGAATAATCACAATATCTAATAACCTAAATAATTAAAGCCAAACAATAACATCACAGAAAAATATTAGGATAGATAAAATCCTCACGTGGTGTAACTCCAATGAAAATGAGGCAAATCCAGCTGTGATATTAGGTATAGCTACTAAACCTTTTGCACAGAAAGCAGTAAATGTGCAAAAAGAAGTCACAGTACAGTTCTCTGAGAAAAGTCCTACTGAGCACAGCAGCCATTACTCATTTGTTAACCATGCTGTGTCAGAGTGGTCCTTGGGAGTCCAGACCACTATTAGAGCTTTGATCTTAAGTGACCTTACTGCCAACAGGCACCAGCACTCCCATAAGAATCCCTACACTCAATTTCTGCTAAAAGGCCTCCAGGGACCATATGCACAGAGTCAGTCCATTATCACCTTGTACTAGTAAAAAAAAAAGGCAGAGGAATGGAAGGTTTATTTTAGCTAACAGCATTAAAAAGGTTCATACTGACAAGATGTCCTTCAAATGAAAAGTAACACATGTTCTCTGTACATACTGTAAATTCCTTCAGTAAAGAGAGGTTTTGAAAAACACGTTTTTGTTTTCAACATCATGTAAAATCAACCTTTTTGAGTTTTATATCATGTTATACTCTCATTAAAAACATGCCCAAAGCCTTACTTTGACTCATTCATGCATGTTTGAGAAATCCTGCAGCATTTTAAGGCAGCCATGCTGAGGAGCAAAATGACAGGTAGGGACCAGAAACGCCTTTTGGGACGTGTCTTTAAATGGAACTTCCTCATCACGGAGCACACCTCCCCAGCCCACACACCTCGCCCATGACTCCTGCAGGCTCTCGGCAGTAACAAAGCAAACGAGAGAAAGTGAAAGTGAAACTTAAAACTGTCTGCTGCCAACATTACTTCTCACTACTTTCAATATATATATATATATATATTAACTATTTTTTGCTTTTACGTGTAATTATGTCAGTTTCGGTCCTCCATACAAAACATGCTGCAAAAAGTTTGTCAGGTCAAATTTATATTTCAGCTCAAATGTGAAAAACATTCAAAATGCAATAAACCATTAAAATGCAGAATGTACTGACTGACCATATTTGTTTTATCTCGACACCCAGCTGAGATCACCCTTAAGTTATCACACACTTGATTAATGGTGAGCTTTCCTGGCAGAGTTGTAAACAAATGTAATGCTTTTTGCTACAGAACTGAAAGTATCAATAAGCTATAGTACTTGTTTTTATCCAAAATAATGGATAAATAAATTCGATTTTTGAGTGCATGCCACCTGCAACATCTGCACCTTTTTGTATTTGTGTAAGAAGTCACATGATGCTGCATTAATGTATAAAACCATACAACTAAAACTGGAAAAGGTCGACTTACCAACATCCATGGCTGTTTCCATGAAACTCTTCTGTCTTGATGCAAACTCAGCAAGCAGTTTCTGCTGCCTCTCTCGAGCTCTCTGACGTCTGAAACAATAATAAATTTAGTTTTGTGTTTGAAATGTGCCCAACATGTCAGTTTTTAAGCAACCATAACTAAATTAACAGCAACTGTGWGCACACATATTTATCTATTAGTTATGTACTTGAAACGTTTTTCGTGCCTCTGTCACATTATAATAAGGGAGTTGATTTATTTAAATGAAACAACTGCATTAGGTATAGGTCTACATGACGTACTGTATGTATAACTCAAAAAGCCATGGCCCTCTCTCACTTTGCATAACATTTATAAAATGTCAAAACCTTTACAACTGTGAATTCCAGTGTAATCCACCAATGTTGTGCAAGTAGTGCTTCCTAATCACTCAAAACATGAGTAAAAGTTTCTTTCATTGGAAGGAGATTTTGCAACATGTACAAAATTTGTCTGATTGTAGTAAAAATGGGCTGTAAAAGTTGGAAAGGTTTATAATAATTATTATTAATTTATTAATATTAGGTCTTTGTAGACGATCACGATGAGGAATGATTAAGTTTTTAATCAGAAGAAAAAAGCAAATCCTGACAGGGCCATCACAGTGCAATAATTTCCCAGTGATMGCCTCAGGGGTGTCAACAACTACTTGAAAAATAGGCCTCTTGGTTTTCAGCACTACTGAACGCATTGCTGTCTGACAGCTGCCATGGAAACAAGTCTAGTCTGTGTGAAAAGGAGAGGTCTAGCTAAAGTATTCTCAGTGGGGTAAAACTAGCACTAAAAGCAGACTGTTACAGATTTATTATAGTTGAGAAACTGCGACAGAGATTAGCAGCTCATCGAGAGTAGAAATACTTGAATCTGCAGAAAACGTTTTATAATTTAAAAAGCTGATGGACTAAATTTAAAAATAGGCATAAAATAATGATAAAACATTTGCACTGTGCAAGATAAATAACAAGTCGTTCATGTTTTGTTTCACTCAAACACTTGCCTGCACTGTAAACTAACGAACAACCTCTAAACAGATGAGCAATACTGAGTTTATTACCTTTCTTCTTTGTCCATAGTTTTCTTGTCTGTGGGACTATTCTTCTTTGGTGGCACTGGAGGACAAACCTTTCCACAAACGTCCTGGATGCTGCGCTTGATTTGGCAGCTGCGTGTGGCCGCCTTGGTGAGGATGCGCTCGATGGCTGTGATGCCGTCTCCGTGAGCGTGGCGGCTCATGTCCGTGTCCTCGAGCCAGGACGCCGACAGAGAGTTCTGCTTGGACGACATCTTCTGGTGAAGCTTGATGAGGAGGGACAGCATGCTTTCTCGGATCTCCAGGATCTCGGTGACCAGCTGGGGCGCTGCGGCCGGTGAACCCCAGCCTGTTGAGGAGCTCTTGGGCCTCACAGCCTGAGTGGCCTCGGTGTTGTTTCGGTTGATTATCTCCTGGAACTTTCTCCTTCGTTCTGCCACGAGGCTGAACACCTGAGCTTCTCGTAGGTTCTAAAACGACACAAAAATACACACATTTATTTACACAATATATAGATCTGATGCRAGATCAGGGTCCTTACTGAAAAAAGTAAAACCATGACGTGAAAACGAATGCACTGCTCTTCGATATATATCAAAAACATGACGTATATCAAGTAAAACATTTACACCAATCCAACTCAAAACACAAAGAAAAGCTTTTTGTTACAAATAGTATCAAATTTCACTTGCATCAATGTGCTTTTCTAAATTAGTGTTTAGCTACAAACACCTCTTCCTAACATGACAACACTATTAGGCTGATAGATTTTGATGGATTGGTGAAACGTCTCATTACCATATCCAGACAGAAACAATACAAGTCAAATCAAAAGCCCATTATAAAATTTCAGCTGACACTTCACCTCTGCTGATAGCACTTATGACAACCATATTACTGAAGAGAAATCAAATCAAGCCGATGTAAAACACACAAGCCCTCTGAAGGATTGGCACGACCCGGCCTGACAGCAAAGGACCCGAGCTGCGCTGTTAAATAAACATACATCATATAGCCCAGTCAAGGTGCCATCAATCACTCTGACATGCGGTTAAAAATCGTTTACACCAAACCTGCACTGCACAGGTAATTAGTTTCGGCAGTCAACAGGGAGGAGAACTGCTGAAGCATAGCAATATATTCACGCCTCAACACACCGAGGCAGAGCTCGTCTGAAAAGCACAAAACAAATACATGCAAAGAAATTCTTTCATAATAAAGATTAAATAAGCAACGGCAGCAGCTGCTGCCGTCGTTACAGTCATCAGATTGTTTTATGGGAACAGGTGCAGACAGCTACCTCTCTCCAATTTCCTGAAAGACGCCTGGAGTTCTGCAGAGGGAGTACAGCATCATCAACAAATAAAACAGAAAATACCAGACTAATACACCAGGGTCCAAAAACAAAACATCAACTACGAGAGCACAAATCAAAAAGGGTTACCTAATTATGACAAGTTAATGTATTTTAGTCACAGGTGGGAGTTAGGATAAAAAACAAACATCAGTTTTACYTTTTAAAGGTCTTTGAAATGATCGATTTCTACTCTCTTTAAAATATTGTGTGTTGCACAAATAMAAACCAATAAAACTGAATTCTTAGCTTCTAAATTACAATTTTCTYGCAAAATATCTTCCTTTGTGTGAAACCCCAGACTTTCTGGTGACACTAACATTATTATAGAATACAAAAGTTCTTTTTAACACTCTTTTTTTGTAGAAAGTAAATAATCTTACAGAATTTAACAGGTATAATAATGCTGCAATATAGACAGCATTGTTTTAAGAGTTTTAAATTGTATCAATAAAATACAGATGAGAACAGCTGTCCACTGAGTTAACTTATCCATGATGTATTTCATTACAGAACTGTTGATTTGATACGAAAGTGTTCACTGTGAACAGAAAACAACGTGTTTATTACAGAGACACAGGGGTTAATGGGGTTGTAATAGTGTTCAGTGGAGCGGTCACTTGCCTGGCCATAAGAAGAAGCTTCAGTGCTTGTGCTGGGAGGAGGCTCCCTCTTCACTTCAGGAGCTGTCTCTGGAACCCGGACTCTCACAAAGTTTATGACGTGGTGCAGGTTGGAGAGAAGGTTGGTTCCTGGGAACCAGCTGTCATGACAGTGCTCCTCAATGCAGGGCTCCTGGAAGCAGAACAATCAGTGAGACACAGGAAGAGGTTTCAGTGGAATCTACAAGTCYACCCAAAAATTAAGAGAATTATGAGAAAAGTTCAATATGTTATTGTTATAACAGCTAAACTCCAATATTCAGTCTATTTGCTCTCATTTTTCATCTTTTGTAAATCGGTACTATATGTTTAGCAACTGATTTCAGTGAGGCTCCAGCAAAACTAAACACATTTATGTTTGTGTCGAAGCTCACCTCATCCTCCTTGCTGTCCTGAACCTGGTTGTCCAAGCCCAACTCAATCAGGTACAGCACCATGCACAGCACRTGTTCAGACATGTTCTGGTGATCCATCCAGATCTAAAATGGAAAATAAAAAGTTATAAGCAGATATCAGACAATCTTTCCTCTGACAATGTTATCGTCTGGAATAAACTACAAAAATAATTTTCTTTTAAATTATACCATATAATCTGTTTTTAATAAATTTATTATTACCTTAGTTTTAATTCAGACACTAAAATATCTACTCATCCAGCCCCATTTGATCTTCTGAGTASTTGTGAATTTATACTCTATAATTATACTTTATCAATTCTATTATTTCTCAGCATTAAATAATAAAAAGTAATGCCAGCCGTGTGCTCACTGAGCGTGACAAACAACTAGTAAACTGAGACAGAAAGACGGTGCTGCACATATGATCACCTTGTAAAGGAGAGTAAATATCACGATGTGCAGAGTCTTGCAGTGCAACAGCCGGATTAAACCTTTATAACAGGGATGTAGAGGAGTCCTCTCCTTGTAAGGTGGCCATGGGTTGCCAGTATGAATTCCATACTGCTTCAAACTAGAGGACRTTGGTCACAATGAGGAARAGACAAAACATARGATCAGAAAAATACRAGAGAGARACAGAGAGAGAGASASAKRKRGAGAGARARAGAG